GGATAGGCGAACCTATCTACTCCTATTGAACGGGGAAAATAATAAATAAAATTTCAGAGTTTAGACGATTTTAAAAGTATAGAGTTGAAGTAAACTTTAGAAGGAACTGGGAACCCAATCCTAAACAAGAAACAAGGAATAAACCTCTATTCCTTTGTCTATACTTGTGAGATGAGGTATTGTAACTATTTACATCGTTTCAACTGCTGTCCTCATCTTTATTGCCATAACTACGACGTTTCGGCAGTTGTACGCTCCGGCCTTCTTCAGGTGACATTCGCTGAAATTTGGAACCGAAACCTTTATTTACTCTACAGAGATAAAATTGTACTAATTCCACGTGCCATGCCTTTTTTTTTTTTTTTTTTGATATCTCAGTTTTAGTAAATTCTCTTTAGTAACTCAACTCTCCAAGTGTATGTTCCTTCTGCTGTGGCCAGTTATTGAACTCACAACTTTTTTGGTGAAGTCACTATTTGAATTACTCGACCAATGCTTTTATAACATGCGGGGAAATTGAAAAAAAAAAACAGACATGCTTGACCATATATAGAGGGAAAAGGGCGAACACCACCCTCTGTGGGATGAAGTTGAAATAATAACCAGGGAACATCACTGGAAAATACGAAAACTTAAAAGAATCAGCACATAAACTCGGCCATAAAAATCTACTAAGAATAAAAAAGACAATGATGTACCTCCTCGCCAGATTTATTCAACCCATACAGTAAGGCAATTCTGAGAGAATTAGAAACCTTACCAGAACTCATTTTTGCCGGTCATGATCTTAATAATATATGCAGAAGACACTGTGCTGAGAGCAGACATAGAAAGGAAACTATGAAACATCCATCAGAAGGTAGCGAAGGAGAGCGAGAAGAAGGGACTAAGCATAGACTAGAAGAATACAAAATGCATGGTTATCAGCAAAAGGGTTAAATGCAAATTACAGATTGGGGATACTACAATCAAACAGGTACAGAAATCTCAATATTTCGGAATTATTCTAACAGAAGACGGAAGGTGAGACACTGAGATCCGAAGACGTATTAGGATGGCCAAAGATGCTTTCCAAAAGCTAAGCAGCGTATTAAGAGACGGAAAATTTTCGTTGAAAATAAAGGAAAAAAGTACTGAACTGTTACGTGATGCCTGTATGGCAACTACTAGACAATCTTCTCAAAGATGAAGAAGGGACTTGAAAAAACAGAAATGTAGTTCTACAGAAAGATGCTGAGGATACTATGGGCCAAACATATGAGCAACAACGAAGTTTTGGAGAGAGAGAAAAAGGAAACTTATGCTTAAGATCAGGAAGAGGTAGCTGAAATTTCCGAAGAACGTAATGAGGAATGAAGGCTTGGAAAATCCGATATTCACAGGACAAATAGGGAAAGAAGGACAAAGGAAAGCAGCGCGTAGCATACTTGATGGGCTTGAACAGAGTTTGGGAAAAATAACAAAATGACGAAACTTATTAAGAGCTACAAGGAACAGGAAGATGTAGAGGGCTATCATCGCCTACTTCCTGAAGAGACACGGCACATAAAAGAAGAATTCAGAGAGCTATGGAAAAAACAATGCCCAAAAATTGTAATATAAGCTCTGGTAAAAAAAAAAATGTATTTAGAAAATGGGTTTATAAGTCTCAAAGATTCACTCACTGATTCACTCACACATGGCTCTATGGATAAACATAAATACTTAAATTAACTAATTAATATTTAGTATTAACTAATTATGTGACACTATTTAGCTATGGTAATTAGCTAACTAATTAACCATAGAAACAGGAAAGACTTAAAGCGAGAAAGAGCTATATCAAAAGATAGACTGATCGACGTATAAAAAGATTTTCGTACGAGACAGATATGAGATACTGTCAAAACTGATTAATGTCATGTTAAGGGAGTAACGCACCAAGGGAGATAGAATTCAGAAAGAAAAACAAAGCCAACCGACACATGCGGCCATAAAAAAAAAAATTCGGCTTGAGACCACCACGGAGAATAGATATTAGTTACCTTTCAGAGATATCATTTAATTTTAACGAAGGGAGCTATCTGGTGTGTGTTAGAATTTTGGTATGAGGAAGAAAATCATAAATCATTGCTTATTCAAACTGTTGACGTCATGCACAGCGTCGTCGAAAATGAGCATTTGATGGTAAGAGGATTTTAAGGCATGAGAAAAATAAAGAATTTGATTCTTAGGTAAAATACGGACCTCCTAGCTAAAAGTTGACTTAGCAGAAAAAACCAGGTGTTGGGTTTTGACAGTGATTGATGAGTCGGTAGAGAGATCCGACTAAGTGAATTTTGGGTGTCCCCGAAAGAAAGATGTGATAAGAATTATTTGGCCATCTGGGACTTGTAAATGTTTTGGCCGAAGAAAGAAAAGGGATTTTGTAAACAAAATTCTGGATAATAATTTCAAGAGGGCCAGTCTAGCCACACCCACGCTGCCGAGAGATCATTGGTCAAGTGGTAGCATGGGCGATAGGCATAGGTGAATGTATGAGAAAGACGGAGAAGTTGTTAACACCCACTGGGGGGGATTGGTATGAGATACCAATGTGAGAGAGGAAGACTCTAGGATGATAACTCTCATCCGACCTTCCCTCACGGGCGAGGGAGAAACCCCCGAAATGGAAAGTGATTAATCTTCCAAAAATGGGAAGTAATTAATTTTATTAGCCTAAGAACAAAGAGAATTCTTGCTGGGAATCGAGAATTATCGGGAACCCAAGTCACGCCGGGTTTTGATCGGTATCCATATAAACGAACGTCTCGAGGTAGCTGATCAGTTTAGAGTTAGTTAGTTCCAGGAGTTCCAGCAGTTGATTCGCAGTTGAAGTCAGGCCGTTGCTTCGCAGAAGCTGACCGAGAAATTCCACGTCCTTCCGACTTAGCCTTCCTACTAAAAGCAAGTTATATTGACGAACGACTTAAGATACCAAAACTCGCTTAAGAAACGCAAGTGTCACGAATCTATAGAAACGGACTGGGAGAGAAACTGTATTCAATAGACGGATAAAGATAATTTGTTATTTCTCAACATATTTGAACCTCTTGAGTTTTGTTTTATTGTTTCTTTTACTTACGCTTGTGCGATATCACCTTTACCCCGGATTCAGCTTGCACTACGGCCCGACGCCTGTTTGATTTCGTCTACCTAAGATCAAAATCACAACGTGGGTAGGTTAGACTTGAGATCAAAGTAATTACTTCAGTAACCAGACATTGGAAGTGAGCTGGGAACGACAAAGCCACATCGACCGGGACACAGGCTGGTGGCAGCGATAAGGACTCAAACCCCAAACGGTGGTGGAAGAAACCTTACAGCTTCTCACCGCAACAGAGAGTTGACCACGGGCCGACAGCGCAGTGTCACATATTGGTGTCGCGACCAGAGGACATCATATATTGGCGCTGCGACCGCGACCACGGGTGGGTGTCAAAATTAATATTTAGTTTTCTTTTCTTTTCTTCTTTTTTTTTACTCATCTGTAGCAACAACATTCAACATCTTATATGTTTTCATATCTTTGCTTATAATGACTTAATCTGTTTTATGAGTTTGGGTACGTGTACTATAAGTAACATGTTTGGGGCAAACCTGCATTTCTTTAAAAAAACACCATAAGTTTGAGATAATTTTGTATTTGTTTAAAGTAAAAGATAGAATTTCAACAGCTACAGTGTACCTGCTTTTATTTTGAGTAAAAATAAGCATATTTATAAAAAAAATTATCATATAACATCATCATATTTTGTTTTCATCAATAAAACCACTATCTGCCTTAATTACTGTTTTACAAATTCTTGGCATTCTTTACAATAGTTTTTTAAAAGAGTTTAAAAAGGCAAACTTTCACAAGTATTCTTCAAGCACTGAAAACGCTCACACTCATTGGATATTCGATTCTAACTCCTCTATTCATATTCGATTCTAACTCCCCTATACTAATGGGAAAGCGAACAGAAGATTGAAGTGGCCAAGATATAATTTACAAAATGTTGTTCTTTTCTTTTGACTAGAGGTAATTTTGACATAATTTATAAGAGTGTTAGGGTCATTGTCTTGTTAAAAGATACATTTTTCTACATGCGTAAACCAAATGCTATAGCATGTGTTTGTAAAATCGAATGATATTCTTCTTTTTTCATGATTCCCTTGACTTGTATCAAATCTTCAGCTCTTTTGATAATCTCAAAAAGTCTACTTAATTCTTATTCTTTTATTGTCTTCTCTCCTTAATAGTAGTTCTTCTCATATTCTCTAACACTCAGTAACTTTTGCTTCTTATCAGTTTTATTGCCTTGCTTGGGGTGAAATGATTTAAAAAAATATTAGCCGTTTCCTTCGGCATATCACTGATGCTACTTTCGTTTGAAATCTACAAAAAATGTCTGCTTTCTAGTCAACTTTGATCATGAAAGATTTAAATGCAATGTCTATCGTTATCTTCTGTCTTCTTAATTGCTGATCGCTCACCTTAGTGTTTTTTTCTCATATTCTCTAACAGTCAGTAACCCCCCCCCTCTTGCGTCTTAGTGGCTTTATTGCCTTGCTTTAGGCGGGGTGAAATGATTAAAAAAGGTTGATAAACCGTAAAAAACAAATTACTCAATCAACAAACGAACTGATGAAATTCCTTTTTTTTCTTTCGATGGTCACAAAAAAAAACAAAAAAAAAAACTCACAGGACTTAATGAATCCAATGACATAGAGAGAATCAGTGAATAGCCAACCTAGTTTTTGTGAATAGATGACAGAGCGGGTTCAAAGAGTCGAAGTCGGGGAAGGAAGTTGTGGAGAGCTATGATCACCCACTATTGGAATATGAAAAGGTCGAGAGAAATCTATTTACACTGCAATACGCGTCGATAACGCGTAGCGCAATCAAAGATAGCCCAGCCTGGAGAGTTTATGTTTCTAACCTTGAATTTTCTTGTACAAGAACTAAGGCTGGTCGATAATTCCAATCCAGAAGGTCGATGTCAGCCGAACATCCGACATTTGACAGCCCGTGTAACACCGTATTGCTTTTAAGGCACCGACACTGACAAAGAAATATGAAAGAGGCAAAATGAGTCCATCGATCTTGAATATATTAGAAAGATTTTGGCGGGAAATACTGAATGACGGTTGACTTGTTGAAAGGTCTGCGCGACTGAACTGGGGATGACGTGGCCTGCTGTTTTCTATATCGGTTGAGTGAGTAGAGCAGGAAAGGGTGAAATTACTTGGACTGAATGGCTAAGAAGAACGTCTACATATCGATTGAATGGCTTGAAACACGTTAGGACAGATGAAAATAGACGAATAGTGAGGGTTCTACTCAAATGTCCTCGAAATTTAAAATATGCAATGTCTTACTCAAAGAAAAAAATACAAAATGAAGGATTTCATTTCTTCGTAGAGTGATTTCGAGAAAGTAATGTCCTACTGTTCAATGTATCACCACATTTGTATCCTACATAATATAACGTAAGGCGAAAAGCAAAAACGGAAGAAGGGGTGCCATTTATTGTTGGATTATAAAATTTAAAATAAAAAAAGATAAAATAAGAAATTAAATAAAAAATCATGAAACAAGCTGTTTGAATTCTTTAAATAAAAAGATTCTGAATGTCTTTTAATATCTCGAGAAAAAAGTGGTTTAAAAAAATGCCTTAATAATATAGCAAACAAATATGGTGGTAGACTACACACTAAAACGGAAACTGATCAGTAGGACACACATTCAAGCGACACCAAGTAATTTCCGGTGAGGCGGGAATATCTTGATTTAAAATGGTTTTATTTAATCAAAATCATGTCATGCATGGCAGTAAAATTTTTAAAAATTCTTGTAAAAATTCACTATTCATCGAAATTTTTTTTCTTAAGACAATAGTGTCCATAATATACATAAAAATTCATAATATATATTCATAAAATTAATAAAAAGCTTTCTACTTAAATAATCCTTTAGTTTTATTACATTTTTTTATTTTACCAATCAGAGCAGATTTTAGATAACTGTGGCTCCTGTTTTTAAGCCATGATTTAAATTCTCCAAGGACTTCTGCATATAACTAATATAAAAAATATTAGCCGTTTCCTTATTGGGCATATCATTAATGCTACTTTCAAATACAAAAATGAATTTGTTTAAATTTAATAAAATTAGATTAGTAGGGGGTGTAACAGATGTCAAAAAAATACATTTTTACCAAGATTTACAAAAAAAAAACATTTCTAAAATAATTTCATTCATTTGTGTTTCAGTTCTGAAAGTTAAAAATTAAAACCAAACAATTATTTGATTTTTGCAAGAATTTCAAAACCAATGTATTTTCACCGCAAAAAAAAAAAAAACAAATAAAAAAAACGCTAAAAATTTATGTGCTAATCTTTGGCCCCCGCTGAAGCAAGAAAAAAAAATTCTAACCAAAATTTCCAACGTTCTACAAATAATTAAAAAAATATATTAATAATTAAAAAATCCCTTGGTCTTTTCTCTTAATAATGGCATACGTATTTTGGCGATAAAACATTGTTTTAACGAATCTTTGGAGGCTCCTTATAAATAAATATATATATTATTTTTTAATAATCGAAATCACCTCAAGCAGGGCAGTTAAGCCATTGAGACAGAAGAGGTTATGAAAGAATTACGAAACGGGAACATTATTGAGGAGTAAGAACAATAAAAGCGTAATCAGACAGAAGATAACGATTGAAATTGCATTAAAATTTTTGGAGATCAAAACTTGTTTGGAAAACAAGAAGCTGGGAGATTTCCATAAAGAAGAAGAAAAAGGTACTTTTGACATAGAACTTGCGGTTACATCTGGCCAAGTCACCTGTAAATTAATGAGACCTTGTTGCTAATTTAACACTGCGCTTAAATTCATAACGTCTAGGTAAATAGCAAGGAGCAGCATCGAAACAATTATCATGAAAGTATTTATTGAAAAGGCACAGGGAAGCAACATTACGGTCGTGGGAAAGTGACTGAAGTCAATATGCCAGGTCAGGACCAATAACATTGCAGATTCTTCTTTGGATTTTATCAAGAATCTCTAAATATATAGCATGATACCCAGACCTTATGTGACAGCAATGTTCTAAGAATGGGTGAATAGAAGACTTGTAGACATTTAAGATTCTGATGAGAAAGATTGTCTATAGCGCAGCACAGTGAGCCAACATTCTTAGCAGCAGACCTCGCTTATCAATTCCATATAATCTATCCACTTCATGTCAGTAGGAAACGTTAGCCCGAAAAAAAGCCACGAGTCACTATCCTGGAGGTTAGCATCAGCCAGCGCTAATGAGAGGCACAAGGGGTGGTCTCTTACATGATTAATAGCAAGCTGTTTTGTTACAACTCTCTATGTTGAATCTTTACAAAATTTAAAATAGCGCGTTTTAACAATATAAAACTCTGTTCGATTGGGCTTGAACTCACGACCCACATTGCCGGAGATCGTTTAGGTACCAATTTGTTCATAAAAGCCTATGGATTGCATACACAACTCGTGTCATATTCTTACCAGTCTAGCTCGGATCTTTTAAAATATCTCAGGTTTTTTTTTTATGTCGGTAAATTATTTTTAAGAATCGTTATTATGAATTGTGATTTTTTTGTGTGTGTGTGTGTGTGTATTAGAAAGAGAGAGAGTGTGTGTGTGTGTATTAAAGAGAGAGAGAGTCTGCGTGTGTGTATTAGAGAGAGAGAGAGAGTGTGTGTGTTATTAGAGGGAGAGAGAGAGAGTCTGCTTGTGTCTATTAGAGAGAGAGATTCTGTGTTTGTGTGTGTATTAGAGAGAGAGTGTGTGTGTGTGTGTATTAGAGAGAGAGTGTGTGCGTGTATTAGAGAGAGAGTGTGTGTGTGTATTAGAGAGAGAGAGAGTGTGTGTGTATATATTAGAGAGAGTGTGTGTGTGTGTATTAGAGAGAGAGAGAGAGTCTGCTTGTGTGTATTAGAGAGAGAGAGAGTCTGCTTGTGTGTATTAGAGAGAGAGAGTGTGTGCGTGTATTAGAGAGAGAGAGAGAGAGTCTGCGTGTGTGTATTAGAGAGAGAGAGAGTGTATGTGTGTGTGTGTATTAGAGAGAGAGAGTCTGCTTGTGTGTATTAGAGAGAGAGAGAGAGTCTGTGTGTGTGTGTGTGTGTGTGTGTGTGTGTGTGTGTGTGTGTGTGTGCGTGCGCGTGCGTGTGTGTGTGTGTGATCGAAGGGGAGTGGTTGACTGGAAAGAGGCAATCAGGGCCCCTTCACTGAGTTCACAAATGAAGCAATTGATGAATGCGCAACTTTGTTCCTTCTGTAAAACGTCAGTGAGTGGTCCTCTAGATTTGTCAGTGATGATTCTTACGGCTTTTTGCATTTTGATTCGTTTGGAACTGGAGCCGGGCGCCATCAAGATAGCAATTGAAGTTGACAAGTGCAGAGCATAACGAGACGGAGACATAACAATCAATGATCAAAGAGAAGCCAAGGGAATGTCTAATGACGATGTTAACGATGTCTAATATTGTTGAAATGCACATCTTTTGGCTTTTTGTAGTAAAAATGAGCAAAGAGCTAATGAGGTTAAGAAACAAAGATTTCGAAAAAGACATTCTTTTTAGAATTTACTCTTCTTTACTGTATAAAGAAAAAACAAATATTTGTGGCCAGATTTTGGACATGAAAGAATGACTGGTATATTTTGAAAGGTTCTTGGTTTTTGACTTTTTAAGTGATCATGGCACTCTACAATTCCCTATTCTTTGTAGCTCTCAGCTTTGTTTGTTTTTAGCCATCTTTTTCATTTAAGTGACCAATGCTTACCACAAGCTTCTATTCTTTGTAGCTCTCAGCTGCGTTTGTTTTTAGCCATCTTCTTCATTTAAGTGGCCAATGCTTACCACAAGCTTCTATTCTTTGTAGCTCTCAGCTGCGTTTGTTTTTAGCCATCTTCTTCATTTAAGTGACCAATGCTTACCACAAGCTCATTTTCTTTGTAGCACTCAGCTTTGTTTGTCTTTAGCCATCTTCTTCAGTTAAGTGACTAATGCTCTCCACAGGTTCCTATTCTTTGTAGCTCTTAGCTTTGTTTTTGTTTTTTTAATTGTCCTTCCTCCTCTCCAAAATCTTATGACAATAACAACGAAAATGAAAATGTAAATAACACAAGTACACATCTTAGGATTTTGACCAGTACTTGTGTTGCTTAATTTTTATGGAAGAATTATTATTCAAGTTACTGAAATTGTTGCATATTTTTCCCATACTTGATACTAATTGCCTATTGGATGAAATCTTTGGTTCGTGAATTTGGTGACGTAGTAATCGTGAGTTCAATCCGTTGGCTAGTCAGTATCTACTTGAACTCAACGGAAACTGGCGGGCAAAATGTAATTGAGCAGTACTAAAAATAAGAAGTAGAAAAAATATCCTTAGATGCAGTGGGTAGTGTAGTGGGACCTGTCTACTGCAGGAGATTGAATAAAGGGTTCTGTTCGAAATTCCCTGTAGGTTACCTGAATGGACATAAAACTGATGAGGCCACAAGGAAGATCGACCGAAACGTTGTGATAAAAACAACAAAGATGAGGACAATAGTCGCATGATTAATGTTCATCTTTTTTGTTTAATTTTAGGTTTTTCTTTCCTTTTTTATTTTTCTATTTACTTTTTCGTTATTTTTTCTTACTCTTTTCTTTTACTTTTTTTGTGAATTTTATTTCTTTTTTCTTTTAGTTCTTTTATTTTCTTTTTTCTTTTATTTTTCGTTTAGCGTTACTCTTTTTTTTTGTTTTTTCTTTTACATTTTTCATTGCTTTTCTTTCTTTTTTAAATTTTTTATTAGTTGTTTTACTTTTTTCTTTTCGTTACTTTCTCTTTTTTTGTTACTTTCTTTCTTGTCTTTCATTTTTATTTTACTTTTTTCATTAGTTTTCTTTCTTTTTTTCTTTTGATTTTTCGTTACTTTTCTTTCTTTTTTTGTTACTTTCTTTCTTGTCTTTCATTTTTCTTTTACTTTTTTCATTAGTTTTCTTTCTTTTTTTGATTTTTCGTTACTTTTCTTTCTTTTTTTGTTACTTTCTTTCTTGTCTTTCATTTTTCTTTTACATTTTCATTAGTTTTCTTTCTTTTTTCTTTTGATTTTTGTTACTTTTCTTTCTTTTTTTGTTACTTTCTTTCTTGTCTTTCATTTTTCTTTTACCTTTTTCATTAGTTTTCTTTCTTTTTTCTTTTGATTTTTCGTTACTTTTCTTTCTTTTTTTGTTACTTTCTTTCTTGTCTTTCATTTTTATTTTACTTTTTTCATTAGTTTTCTTTCTTTTTTTCTTTTGATTTTTCGTTACTTTTCTTTCTTCATCGTTGCTTCTCTTTTTTTACATTTTTCATTACTTTTCTTTCTTTTTGTTTTTTCATTTTCGTTACTTTTTACGTTAATTTCTTTCTTTTTTACGTTTTTCGTTTATTTTCTTTTTTCTTTTTCGTTACGTTTCTTTCTTGTTTCGTTACTTTTCTTTCTTTTGTTACTTTTTCATTACTTTTCTTTCTTTTTCTTTTTTCTTTTTTGTTACTTTTCTTTCTTTTTTAGTTATTTTCTTTTTTTACGTTTTTCCTTACATTTCTTTCTTTTTATGTTTTCGTTAATTTTCTTTCTTTTTTTCTTTTACTTTTTCATTATTTTATTTCTTTGATTTTTCTTTTTTCGGTTTTCGTTACTTTTCTTTTTTTTGTTTTCTTTCTCTTTTCTATTTCGTTACTTTCTTTGTTTTTTCCTTACTTTTCTTCCTTTTTCTCTTATTTTTTCATTACTGTTCTTTCTTTTTTACTTTTTTCATTACTTTTCTTTGTTTTTTTCTTCTATTTTTTCATTAGTTTTCTTTCTTTTTTCCTTTTCGTTACATTTCTTTCTTTTTCCGTTAATTTCTTAATTTCTTTCTTTTTTCTTTTACTATTTTCATTTAGTTTCTTTTTTTTTTTCTTTTTTCATTACGTTTTCCGCTATTTTTCTTTCTTTTTTCGTTACTTTTCTTTCTTTTTCGTTACTTTTTTCTTTTACTTTTTCATTCCTTCTCTTTCTTTTACTTTTTTCATTATTTTTTCTTTTTCTTTTTCGTTACTTTTCTTTCTTTTCTCATTATTTCTCGTTACTTTTCTTTCTTTTTTCTTTTACTTTTTCATTCCTTCTCTTTCTTTTTTTTTTTTTTCATTATTTTTTCTTTTTCTTTTTCGTTACTTTTCTTTCTTTTCTCATTATTTCTCGTTACTTTTCTTTCTTTTTTCTTTTACTTTTTCATTCCTTCTCTTTCTTTTACTTTTTTCATTATTTTTTCTTTTTCTTTTTTGTTACTTTTCTTTCTTTTCTCATTATTTCTCGTTACTTTTCTTTCTTTTTTCTTTTACTTTTTCATTCCTTCTCTTTCTTTTACTTTTTTCATTAATCTTTTCTTTTTCTTTTTTATTTTTCTTTACTTTCCTTTCTGATTTTGTTACTTTCTTTTTTACTTTTATGGTTACTTTTCTTTCTTTTTTCGATACTTTTTTTTTTCTTTTTCTTTATATTTCTTCTACTTAAACTATACTAACGTCAGCGCTAGAGTTGCTAAAGATTTATTCAAATTTGAATTCAGTTGCTTATTAAATTAATCGTGTATCGTTATTTGTCGATATTTTTGCCGATTATTTGTTTTCTCAATTTTTTCAATCTTTCTCTTCATCTTTCCGAGCGAAAGATCAACGAAAATCCTTCCCAATCTTTCTTTCTTCCAATTTTTTTATTCTATTTATCTTTTACCCTGTCTTTTTGGCTTTCATTCCGCTTTTTTTTCCTCATTGCGAAATTATCTTTTCTTTCCCACCCTCTTTTTTACTTTTTCTCATATTCTCTTTTCTTTTTCTATAACTTCTCCTTCTTTTGTCCCTCTCTCTCTCTCTCTTGTTCTCTTTCTTTTACACCCTCTCTTTTTCCTCTTTTCTCTTTCTGTTCCTCCCCTCGTCTACTCTCCCTCATCCAGTTAGGGTCAGGCAACCGAAAATTTTTGCGTGTTGTGGATTATTCCAGGAAAGCGACTCTTGAAAAATAGATTCTTTTGCATGAAACTGATTACCAGTCTGTCTTTCCGAAAATAGGTCTCAAATATCTTCGACTCTCTGAGGTGGAAAAGTGATTCTAACCAAATCAAGAATTTTATATAAGGACTAACAGAATAACATAGTTGATGCCAAAGCTTAGCCAAAAAATAATAAAAAAATTGAACGAAAAACAATTCTTGTTACTATCAAAAGATTTAAAGTGATATGCATTCCTTTATAAAATTACAGACTTACGACCCTACCTCATTGAAATACCGGTTCTCGCACAATTACTGAAGTTAAGCAACGTCGAACGTGGTTAATACATAAATAGCTGACCTCTTGAGAATACCAGATGTTGTAAGATGTTTGTGTGTGTTGTGGCATAATAGCTCGGAATTGTTAACTGGAGAACAAAGTTCCAAGTCCAGTCGGGTTCGTCATATTTACTAATGCGTGGGAAAGATATGAATCCACCCCCCTACTTATGCGTTGATTAGTAGGAATTGTATCAGTAAATCATTATCATCTCCAAAACATTCTTACACTATAAAAAACATTTTCTGGCTTTAAATAACCTTTAAATAAAGATTTGATAAACCGCAAAACTGACACAGTGTTGTAGAGTAGTTTCACAGTGGAGGTTTGTATTTCACTAAGTCGGTCCCAAAATAGGTTCGACGTGCAAAACGTTAGGAACTTGGTATAATAGGTATGACGCAGAGTAATCTAGTTGTGGTCGCTGATACTTTAGTATCCGACTAACGGTCGTCCGGCATCGACTGACTGACCAACGATATTTAGTCACCCCCCCACCACCACCAACACCAACACCACGAGGACATCATGTGGCACAAGGCCGGTTTAACGTGGGATCTCCGAGCCTGTGGGCTCGGCCAAAAATATGCCCATTGAACCCGAATAAACGGGTTTATGGTCGGTTTACCTCCCCGAAAGAGAATCCGCCCTTCGGCGTAGCCTCGTTCGGGTTCCTCCTCGCCCGAAAGCAGAGAGTTCAACCGATCAGCCAGTCGTCCGTCTTCAGACTGAAGTCAGTGACCAACTCCCTGAGCGACTTGCGGCTGGATGCATTTACCGAGTTTGGTTTCGACTAGATGGAAATTGGGGGGGGGGGGGTAGGCGTCTAAGAGAGAAACAACTTTATTTTTAAAACGAGTATTTTTTTTATTTCGTTTCACTAATATTTGCCCTATACAAGGCCCAAGGTTACCTCAAGGTAGAGGGTTACTATGTGGAGTTGTACTAGTTTAAGAAAGAGCGAGATAACAGGAATGACAGCTAATTCATGAATTGAAAAGGTCAAGATTTAATTACCAAATAAAATTTCAGAATTCAGGCGGAGATGTTAGGAGTATAGAGTTGAAAGTAGACATTAGAAGGAACTGGAAACCCAATCCAAAACAGGACATAAGGGATGAATATTCCCCAAAAGACCAGAGAGGAGTGTGAACCGGTCGATAAGCAAACCTATCTACTCCTATTGGGAGAGGAAAAATAGTAATAATTACTGGATAAAATTTCAGATTTCAGACGGAGATTTCAGAAATTGAAGGAACCGGAAACTGAATCCTAAACAGGAAACAAAGGATGAACTACTACTACTGTCCAGAAGGCCGCGGAGGATTATGAACCGAACGATAGGCAAACCTATTTACTCCTATTGGGAGAGGAAAAAACAATAATAATTATTGAATAACATTTCAGATTTCAAGCGGAGATGTCAGAAGTACAGAGTTGAAGGAACTGGAAACCCAATTCTTAACAGGAAACTTCTACTCCTGTTCAAAAGACCGGGGAGGAGTATCAACCGGATGATAGACCAACCTATCTACTCCTATTGGGGAAGAAGAAAAATAAATAATTAGTGAAAAATAATTCAAAGTTCAGGCGGAGCCGTCAAAAATGTAGTGTTGAAGTAGATTTTAGAAAGAGCCAGAAACCCAGTCCTGAACAAGGAACAAGGGTTAGACCTCTACTCCTGTTCAAAAGGCCGGGGAAGAATGTGAACCGGATGATAGACAAACCTAAGAAACAATACTTTGTTTTAATTTCTTTTGGATAAAAAGAAGAAGGAATGATTTTTAAGCCTTTTAGTGAATTCCCCCTAGTATCAAATGAGTGACAGAACTAATTTCAACTCGGAATTAATTTCACCTTGGAACTAATCTCAACTCAGAACTAATTTTAACTGGGAATTAATTTCACCTGGAAATTAATTTCAACTCGGAACTAAATTTAACTCAGAACTAATTTCAACACGGAACTAATTTCAACTCGATTTAAAAACCCTAACCTTAACCCTAAGCATTAGTTCCGAGTTGAAATTAGTTCCGACTTGAAATTAATTCCGAGTTGAAATTAATTCTGCAAATTAGTCGTGTGATGTGAGGTAGAAATTTGTAATGAAGAATGCTGAAATTATAAGTAATGCTCTCAGTGTTCCGAGTATTTTCGCCATCGTTGTGTGTGTAGCGAATGCACGGCCGCAATTTTCGACGGATTTGCACCAAAATTTACATGCACATGCCCCAAGTTAGCGGGAAGGCTAAGACCGACTTTGCATTTCCCAACTCTAATCGATAGTGGAAATAATCGATTTTTTTCAGGCTTCTACGGCAATTTTCATGTAGTTTGCGGCTATTTTCTACTGACCAGAGTGAGAGCCAATAGCTGGCTGCCACGAATAGGCAGGAAGATTCTATTGGCCAGCGTGAGAGCCAACAGCTGACTGACACGAATGTTAACTAGCATGCTAGCATGCAAAAAAAAAAAAAAATAGATAGCTGCATTCGTCACAAGTGGGAAAAATTTAAATCTGCATGGCACTTTACTCCAATTGGCTCATTCACTTGCTTAAACTCAACGTTGATTCTGATTCCGCAGAACTGGGTTGGGTGTGAAAAAGTATTTTTTGTTAACATTCTTTTTTCATTCGGTTTTTCCAGTTACGAGTCCTTTTTTAAAGCTGATCGTTTTGTGTTCAATTTGTTTAGTTCTTTTGTCGTAACAGATTTAATGTTTAGTATAGATCTTAGAAAAAATTCGCAGTGTGAGATAGGCAAGAAATAAGGCATGTAGCAACATCAGGCAATGAAGGGCAAAAATATTTTAAGTCAAGTGATAGCGATTGCTGTATGAGTCGAACGATTTTTGAATCAAGCACGGGCAACGCCGGGTCATGCTGCTAGTTTTACTATAAGATTTTTCTCCTATACATAAATATCACAAACGTCAATCCCTCATAAAAGCACAAACCTCCATATCAAAAATGATTTTTACGCTAAAAGTAAGTAATGCCTGATTTAATTAAGATTAATTCAACTTTAAATCAGTTAATCTTCTTCAAATAAGTACCATAAGTGATACATAGGAAAAGTGAAGTTCTCAAAATTGTCTTAATATTCTCTAAGCATCACTCATACTTACATCGCCTACTGATTATATACCCACACGCACACACACACACACAGGCGCGCATTCATAGACATATATAATATTCTGTATATTAATATTCACACACATCCATATATATATATATATATATATATTATTACTTAAAGGTCAGTTTTAGTGAATACCCATACTACTAAAAATAACGTTTAAGTAATAAAATCTGCCGGATTATTAAATAAAGATCGATCACTTCTTTAGAAATTACACACACACACACACACATATCCATGGATCTTGTCTCAGTAACGCAACGATAAACAGCAGCCAAGGTTGGATAACTCGGCTGCCTTGGGACTGACGTATTTTAAAGTTTATTTTTAAAGTCATCTCCTCTCTAAAAAATGGATGTCATGAACTAACGGGTTAAATGGTTTCAGCATATTCAATCAAAGAAGGTATGAGACTTATTAGATATTAAATCCGTTGATCGTTGTGCTAGTGGCCTTGTTCAGAAAGCTGATCACCCCAGATAATGGGCGCTCTCCTAGAAACCTTAGTTACAGTTTCGAGAAGAAAACGCGTTATCTAGTGTGATCAACAGTCTGAACAAGGCCACTGACACAACCATCGAGAGATATAATATTTATTTGCCCATAGATGGGGCCCTAATAGGTACAATCATCTCGGATCAGATAAACCATACTATCACTATAAACAACAGGTAGACTTTGTGGGTGTTAAACAAACACACATAAATCTGAAATGGAGTTTGTAACGGGGATTGTCTAGCCGCTCTAGTAAACAAACCATTATTCTATATATAGTAAAAGGAACCTTTACTGGTTTTACGGTTCTATGATTTTCAAAAGTTTAATTCAGATGGGGAGACGTGTGGCTATGCCATTATCAGTTTCGCATCACGTGCGTGATGGCACAGCCACGCATATGGATTTAACTTTAGAAGATCATAGAATTATGAAAACAATAAAGTTATTCTAAATAAATATTCTTAAAATTCAAGTTACCATTTCAACTTATCTTTTGTATATATCTTCACCCGGGTAGTTTATATATAAAAGCCTTACTTTC